CGAACATCAGAGTCGGTTTCTGTGATCGATTTAATGTCCCGGCAAGTAGTAGTTCCAATTATAAGATCCAACATTCATTTATTCCACTTACAATAATACAATGAAATAGGCGTATGTGGTAGGACTTCACTCAGTTTTACACCGGAAAGTTGTACACTGGAAGTAGGCATAACATTTGAAGTAAAACAGTACGTATAAACACAACAAAAAAAAATAAGTGAGCACAAATACGTAAAAAAAAAACTAGACTAAAGTGGCCTCTGAAATTGCCCTGCTACAAATTTTGTAACGAATTTGGTTTTCACTAATTCATATAAGAAGAAATAGCATTGGTTTCTACGAAGGCTGTGGCTACCGTTTGAACTATCGTTGTTGTTCAATAATAAATAAATCATGAAAAAGTAAATTAAACGAGTAATTACGTAGAAAACTTGAAAAAATATTCAAGTTTCAAAGCTAAATACATTGAGAAGTGTAGCTCGCTCCGCTGCACTTCTTGACAATCGATTGACGGGTGTCCACCCCTTGCAGTGGGGGGCAGGGGGGGTCCGGTGCGACGCCCCAAGACCCCACGTAGTGGGGCGTCCACCTGACCCACATACGCTGTATTTATAATAATTGAAGCGCCAGCGTTCGATTCATAAATTGGTCACGTTGCCCTGATAATTCTCGGACTTATCTTGGTGATTATGACAACTAGGGTTGCCACGTTAAATTAATAATCTGAGAAACCGACGGGATTCGAACCCGAGACAGACTGATCGATAAGCCACTCATTGTGATTAGCGAAGTGCCACACAACAACACAAAAATATCTACTTTTTACCAAAGTTTATACTAAACAGATATGAAATGTAAAGGATAAAAGGCGGCTGCTGTAAAGAATCCAAAAAATCGAATCGTCGGGTCGTAGCAAAATAAATTAAAAATAATATTTGCGTTTAAAACTTTAAAATGTTTCATTTAAACGAGTAGGTACTACGTGTCTATGCTACAGATGATACCAACTTATAAATTAATTATTAAAATATGTAGTCTTAGTTTTATATACACAAAACATGATGATAGTAAAATATATATCAGTTAGTGAAAAACGCTTAAAGCCATTCAATTTGTTTCACATTATGCAAATCGTGGGCCGTAGAAATATGTCCATCATAAACATCGCGACCACTCAACATTAGTTCACATCTTAATGATTTGAGATAACGCCTGCGCAGGCGCCGACATCAAAGGAGTTCAATCTGAATAACTTTTAGTTGAATTGAAAAATATGTACTAGGTGTCTTTTTTATTAAATTTAAATTTAAATATAAAATATATATAGGTTTAGTGTTTTTGATATTCATAAAATCATTTGACATAATTATATAAATATAATTCTCATTATGTCTAGACTAAAACTGTAATTTACTTAATATTTATTTATTATACAATTTTCTTTAAAAAAAGATGATAATTGAGATACGATTTTAAAAAAAATCGAATCCCAAATGTTACTAATGGTACTATGTAGAATACAATATTAATAAGCCTTATTTACTGATAGTTAACTAGAAAGTATTTTTGTTTCGCCAGAATTCGAACCCTGTCCTCGCACACTGGCGATGACTTTAACTATTAAACCACAGAGTTTACCAATGTCTATAGCAAAGGAGGTGTATGCTCTCTCTCCCTCTACTCTAAAACTCAGCAAAGACATTCATAAAACAAAAGAGCCCCGCCATATGCAACAAATAAAAATCGGAAACAAATCAAGTTGCAGATGCTAGTGACGAGGAGGATCGGGCTAGACGGACCAGCTCCCTTTGACTCGTCTTAAATTATGTCCGGAACGTGATAACGAAGCGGGGCGCAGGGGGGCAGCGGGCTGGAAGGGGGGAGAGATATTTACTTTTACGACACACTCGCTCTATTGTGCCCGAGTTTGAGTGTTTAAATCTTTTTAATGTAGACTTGGGTAGAGTTTAGAAAGTTCGATATGGATCACTTAGTTTGTCTTGTAAAACATCCACAAGTTTAACAAAAATAAGTATCTGTAATAGAGAATTACAAAGCGTTACGTGGTGGTACTTTACAACCAAACCACTGTTTTATGAAAGAAAAAAACATATCTGAAGCATGTAATTTCAAACGTAACGTAACTACTATGTTTATTCTTCCAATGAAAATTGGGTATCAAAGTCATATGTTAGACCCACAAGGGGTAGGAAAACTTTTATTATTTATTATTATTATCAATTTTTTGTTTCAAAAAACAAAGAACCAAAATAAATAGATAGGCTATTGTGCTATATTTTCTTTATAAAAATATCACGAATAAATTGTATTCTCAAACATTTAAAAGTCAAACAATGGTTGACAGCGCAAAAAACTTCAGTACGTCAATAGCGGAACAAGACCCGGGCACATCGTTCAGATAACGTCCGAGAAGGGTTAAAATATCTACGTCAAACAGAAAAATCGTCCCAAATGAATTCGAAATTATTTTCACCTTGATTTGGCATTACCGAAGTTTTTGAGTACTAACCGCAACGCTTTCAACCCTTCAGCTGATATCGTAAGAGGTGTCCCGGTGAACTCTTTTCGTATTCAGTCGGGAAAACAAAGGTTACTTGAAATACCACTTAGTAATCTCTGTCACCGGACTCAATAAATCGTTTGTGTTGGCGTTTTTATTGCTTTTCTCTATTTGCGCGTGATATACTGTAATAAACTAAATGTTATCAAGTTTCGAATCGCTCTATGCTTTCAAATCATTCGATGTCTTATTGTTAGTTTTGTTAACCGACTCCGCATAAAAATATGACACTATTATTCTTAAGTGTGTATATTTATTTAACACTGTTTATTACGCTACACAATTGTCTTTTGTTAAACTGAACACTTATGAACGGTTTAAGATACGAAATGTAAGTATGCAAGTAGGTTCATAGTTGGTTATTTAACCCGAGACCATAACTGCTATAAATAAAGTCAAAGGTTGCATCTTAAGTCAATTTTTTATACTTTTAAACATTTAAATAAAACGGTTTAAAACGCGATTTAAAACAATCAAAATTATTTTAACTACGGCCCGAAGTTGTTTAACTGTTAACAAGCCCAGCAATTTATATCGCCCTAAAATAAAACGTGAATACTAAAACATCGAAAACGTTACACAAGACAGACCGTTCCATTTGAAGAATGAAAAGTGCAGGTGGATTCGATTGATCTGCGGCTGGACGATACCCGGCTTACCCCCCTCTCCCCCATGCCCCCGGTGACAAGCTATTGATAACTTATAACTTACATCGATTCACAGGTTTATAAGTTTTGCTGACTGAACCATCATATATATTATCAATAGGTGTATGTTACACTTCAGTAGAACAGACAACTATATGTGTAATTATGTAACTTATATACGTGTTAGTAAAAGGAACTTTTTTTAAATTAGGAAAGTAGGTTTTCCATTCCTAATATATTGATTATATTACATAGTATATATGTACGTAGACTATATAATTATAAATGTATTTCTTAAATTTAAATTAAATTTATATTACACATTGTTGACACGGGCGGGACTTGAACCGTCATCTTGACCGACTAATATATTTATTTATTCTCTATTGCACAAAAAATAATACAGATAAAACTTATATGCTAGAATGGCGTGCAATGGGCGGCGATCACTTTCAGGCAAAAAAAGTAAATGAAAGAAAAAAAAGACGAAAGAAATTAATACAAACAAAAAAATAATCATTAATAAAAGTATACAATACTAAAAAAAAAAACAAACTGATCTAAATCAGGTTACGTGCTAACTTAAACAAAAGGAACTAACTATTGAAAACTTTAATATTTTTTACATGTACATGATGGCACTATATAGTGGGACTCGGCAGCTCAATTCGTTGGAGCAACAGCACGGAACGCAGACGATGCCGATTCAAGTCCTTCCCGAGTCAAAATGTATTTTCGATTTTTAATCATAACGATAACTACATAAAAACAAAGATAGAATATATATCATACATCATGCAATTCTTTACATAACGTGATCTGTTATGTTAGTTGTCCTATTAAACACAGTGTATAACAAAGGACAATAAAGTAAAAATCCCTGAGTTCGACTAATAAGAGCGATTGAAGAAAATTGCTATCCCAGTAAATGACACATGATGAAGCGAAGCGGTAACGCAAAGTACTATCATTTTGAAATCTAGCGTCTAGTCACAAATTAGTGAGCCACTCGTCCCAACTCGTCCAACGCCACATCCGCTCTTGGTGTTGTGACCATGCATTTGGGTATAAGTTGGACATAATGATTATGTTATATTACGATTATGGGGGACTAACCCTCAGTGACCACGGCTGTTGGAAAGTATTTGAAACGTCAAACCGTAGTTAAAATAAATTATTCGCGTTTTAAACGGTTAAAAGTGATTTATTAAAATGTGTACTCCTCGCGTAAACTACGGACAATACATAACAATAATGTGTATACTAGTCTACAATTAATATTCCACGAATTAGTGTATTCCTTATTGTTATAACAAAATACTGCCTAGAAGGGATTGCTAGTTAGCGATAAGTTCTTTCATTTGACTGTGTATTTAAGTCTTGTTTGGGCTTTTATATGATCTATTAACTATGTAACATTGATTAACATTGATTGCCAATTCTCAATAGATTTATCAATAAGTATCAAAATAGGGACCAAAATCAAAATTAATTAATTAACCGAGTTTTATTATGTATTAAAACCCCAACCTTTTTTCTCTTTTAAGTATAAACAAATTCAATATGAAAAAAAAATTAGATTCGACGTATGTTGTCACGTTGTGTTTTTATGAGCGTAGGCTTCATTTATGGTAGGTGAAAAACAACATCTAAACGAATCGATCGAAGCGCTGTCGATCTATATTGGCTTTGGACATTCAGAAATTAGATACTGAAAACGAATCCATAGAATGAAATCAAAACGCCATTATACTGCACGGTTTTTCCATCTGTTAATTAAAACGTTGTCCGCCATTTTCCCAACGCATATGCACTGCCACTGGACGTCCGACCGGACCTCGCCGTCTTGCCGCGTTTGACTGAGCAAAATCACTCAAAAGTTTTAATGCCGCTTCCGTGGGGACGCCTGCCCCACCCCCGTCTCCCCCGATGTATGTCAATACTACGTGAATGTTATATGAAAGCATAGTATTTATGCTATTTGAAAGGACTTGGAAATTGTATGAAATTTTGTCTGGACGGTCATTTTCTGAAAGGGGGTGGCTCGTCGCCACTGATTTGTTCTTGTTCTGCGTTTTATTGGACTTGCGGAATTCTCTCGCATTAAAACTCATGTTTCACCTTTCCCCCTACCACTATATAAACTGTGACTCATACATGACTTTTCAACAAATGTAGAGCTTATAACGCTTATTTAAATGTATACTTTTAAGAACAAAATAAATTGGTGAAATACTCCAGCCGTTTATAGAACATAATATAAAAAAATGCGCTGTCGACCTTTTTTTAGTTTTTAGTATTCGGAAATCCATAGACTGAAACCAAAACGCGATTTAACTTTGCATTTACAGACTGGTTCGAACCCCGATGGAAATCCGATAGTCCCACGACCCATTTAAAAACCAGATTTCAAGACGAAGTCCAACATGCTTCAGAAAAAATTGGTTGTCTGTAAAGTCGGTTTACTTTAATGGTAGCTTTTTTCAAAAGAAAATTTTAATTTCATTTGTTTAATAGATTTGTATGTATAAGGAGGTAATTGGAAATCACAATCAAATTGATCAAGTTAGATTTATTTGTACGCATAAATACAATTATTATTATTACGTTTATTTTTTTACCACTCAAGTAGGAGAGAGACGGATGTCGAATGCTGGCGAACGCAAAGGCCGATGGTGCTTCTTTGTCGCTCGTTCCGCGCTCTCGCTTGGACTTCAAACCTTACATGGAACGCCTCAGAGCGAGGTAACGCCGCATGAGTCATGTTTTTACGTGCGTGCAGCCGGCTTTACCATTTAAGACGTTTCAAAAATGTTACTTATGTTCAGAAATTAACTAATTTAGGAACGTTGGACTCGGTTGGGAACCCACCAGCTTGATTATAGTTATCCAGCTACCACTACCAACGAGCCTATCAACATAACATTTCCTTTGTGTTCATAATTTATTTAAATATCCATTGAGTGTTAGAATCAAAATATTTTTCTGATCACCAATTAAAATGGATAGTAATTTAAAAAAGGCACCTAACCTTATCCAATATAGACCGCACCTAGTCTCAAGGTATCAAAAGACAAGTGAAAATAGGGAGGGGAGAACGGGGAGAAATGCATAATTGGGTATTATCTGATAGTCGGCGTGCGGTTAGACGGCGGATCGATTCAATCAACTTTTCATTTTAACACTGACGTATCGAGCTTCGGGCTAATTAAATCTCCTGTCATTTATATCAAAATCCATTGATATTGGCTTGTGTAAAACTTGGTTTATTCCACGTATATTCTCATTGTTTAAATTTAATTTTATAGGTACTTTGTCGATGTAGTGGTGGTACACTAGTGTTGATCACTAAGATATGGGTCGATGTTTTGCGAAATGTAGGCTTAGTATTCTGATGTATATTCAATAATTTTATAACCGGTCAAAGGTTTTTTAATAGTAGAGGAGACTGCCCAGCCAGGGATTAGTTTCAAGAGGAGCTATACGACTTCTTACCTTAAAATAATACAATTTTGATGACTTACCTGAAACATAAAATAAAATTTCATACAAAATTTTCATAAAAAAAAGTTATCATTTATATTAAAAATGTCAATTTAAATAGGATATTATGTATCTTTATTATTGGGATTTTACTTAATGCAATTCATCCACAAATAAAGTTTTACACGGATACTATATCTCTTTTTTTGATATATACATTTAGATATACAATAGTAATGCATAAATACCAAAATTTGAGACTTTACCGAGATAATAAGTAATAGACTTTTTTAAATTGTCAGTTTGTTATATATTACGACTTCAACTTACTTGACCTAAACCTACAACTCAAACCGAGCTGTCGGCCTAGGTCCTCAAAACTTAAGATAGATAATAGAAATATTAAATTAATAGTTTACTTATTTGATATGATTCCCACGTAATATCTAATTCCGACATTTGAAACATCCCATCCGCAAGGAGGTCGTTGAAAAAATCTATATTCTATAAAAAAAATTGCCAATCAAAGTCTCGCAGAGCGGGTCCGTTCCCAACGGAGTCTCGGACACTAACATTCCGACCGATATTAAATCCCACTTCACTCGGAAATTCCGCGCCGATCTCGAAACAAACCTTCTGATATTTTTGCATTTACTGTCAGGTACAGTCCTCAAGGAAAGAGTTATAGTTCCAATACAGGGGTCAGGTTAATGTACCTGTGTTACCTAATTTAGTATTTGCATTTTTTATTTAATTAAATACTTATACATTACAGCGTTTCAAATTTATTAAAGTCGTAAACATGAAACTTCAATCAACTCTTATTAACTTTTTGTCAACTATAAAGCCTAATGAGTCTATACAATGATAAAAATGATACGTGGAAGAACACCTGCCCCGCCTGGGCGTAATATTTATATAAATTAAACTTTTTATAATAACCAAACTTTACTATGTACAGATTACATCTTACGTTCAACAAGGCAATAGCTCAAGTGAAAAATGTGATAGAATAATGTTTAACCCTTCGCCGCCTATCAATTTTTATGTCACCCCCGACTCGGCCGTGGTCTTACACGACTCTTATAAGAAGTACATAAACCTCCATACTTTAGTTAACGGTGGATTTGCATCGAGTCGATACCCGCCCGATAGATGGCGGATAGAGGGGTTTTATTAACCCATAAAGATTTCATTTTATTGCAGGGACATATCTGTAGGTAACCGGATTTCTCGATGTTCACTTCAAATTATTTTTTATAATGCCCCCTCGTGGATTTGTTTATGTTAATACGTTTACGTCTTTGATGTTTTTACATTTGATAAATAAAGCCGGCGTCCTGTCGTATAAATAGTGAAATTATGACCGATCAGAGTATCGCTGTCAAGCTATCTGCTCGTATAGATAAATGTCAGAGTGGATTTGCAGAAATAGCTCCTTTACAATTACATAAAGCTTGAATTTATATTCGTTTGATTATAATAAAACTAGCTGACTTGGCAAACGCTTCTTTGCCATATGAAGCAATTCGACATTCGTAATTAGATTCCCATAAAAAGGTTCTGGTGAGTTAAGCTTAAGAGATACAATAATAATGTCGGATATTTTTAGATCATTGAAAATTAATAATTCTTTTATGTGTATTTTTGGGTATCTTGAACCGCACGCAAAGTTAACCAACAAAGATAAATAATTTTCCTCGTTTTATTTTAACATTTCCCAATGTTTCTTCGCTCCTATTGGTTGCAGCCTAATGTTTTAAACGTTAAACCATACTCGATAGTCCTTTTTGTTCAATTACCAAACAGTAGTTCAAACTGAAAAAGAAAGGTTAACGCGTCCAAAAACGTTCCTTAGACAAAAGATGAGCGCTATTATAATTAACAAATTATATTTTATGCTTGTATAGAAGTAGTGCTTAATACAAAAACATTATATAAAACACATCAATACTACATTTACTTAGTCTTACGGCTACCATCTCGTACTACCTACTCGTAGTGTCAATTATATTTCGCGTTTCAAACAGTTAAGTGTGTCTCATTTAATATTCTGATCTCTCGCAGACATTAAATACCTCGGATGCTTGAATCTGAATAAGCGTCGAAAAAAAGCAAGACGCCATTGAAAAGGGATATCGGGTGGACGTCACGCGCTAAAAGACGAAGACAGCGTGTGTAAAGCAATATTGTTAAAGCCGCAATCTCGTATCAACCGGCCGAATAGCTGAGATACTTATGTAAATGGGAGCACGACCGAGCTTATTGTATATCTAATTTGATTTCTTTTGCAATACCATGATGGGAGGAGGCGAAGCTTACCTGCCTAATATCGGGATCGAAAATACCCAGTGCAGCAGTTAAGGGGTTATCTGATGGGATAGTTGGAGGGCCCGCTTTAAAATATTTATGAATGGCGCAGGAGCGAATTTGTTCTGTAATCCAATTTCAGTTTATGATCGGGTTCAGTTATTTAGGGTTCTCGGGTCACCTTTTTATGTCTAATTAAATTTTACGACGCAGGTACAGCTGTCGTGCCTTTTGTATTTGTACTAGCGTCTAATGTAAATGGTTGTATTATGATTTTATTGTATGAAATACAATGTGATTGAAATTACAAGGCTTACCGTTTTCAAACTTTATTATTTTTCACATGTTATCGCATATGTGAAAAATATAAACGTATGGCACTACATAAATGAAAAATCGATTACAAATTTAAAAAGATACGATTCGGACAGGACTCGAACCGGCATCCCTAGCGTTACGTGCTGGTGCTCTAACTACCGTGTCCTGCATGTCATCGAATTTTTTGAACCTTCACACATGCACCTCTTGCGCAAGTTAAGTTTACATTACTATTAATTATTTTGAATGTATTAAAAAAACCAATATCCCAAAACGTGTGGATAAAATGTAAAATTAAGCTTTCGTAAAAATAACTGTTTCGACGCTGATTAGCTCTTGACTTGCGAACTTCCGGCGTCGAAAGCCGCGTAGCAAAAAAGCCTTGACAAGCGAACTTATCCACACTAAGTGACATGCAAGTCCATCTATTAGCTTCCAATTAACTTTATAACATGGCAACACTATTACGGAGTGATTTTTACTCGTGCTACTTCGTCGAGAAAGTTTGACATGAGGCGAAGGTGTGCGGTTTATTTTTGCGGCCAGTATCTCAATTTTTACTTCATTTTTACTATTTACTTCGCTGTCTTACCCCTATTGAAATGGGTATTTATGACACATTCAACGATGTATCTATTAAATTAAAAAAAAGCTTACTAATACATACAAAATGATATACAACTTAAAAACTCTATTTCTAATAATCATAATTCTTATTACTTATGTGTCTATCTTAAATGAAAAAAAAGTCCGAATAAATGACTTTTAACAATTTAGCACGACAATTACATCACTTTACTCATATACATTTTATTTTAACTAATATATTTTGCGTTTTAAACTGTTAAAAGTATTTTCAAACTATGTATTACTTGCGTAAGACCAGCGAAAGTCGTACCAATGAATTTAACAAAATCTTAATATTGGTCCCAAGCGAAAACTTGTTAAAAGTACTAAGGTTTTTCAAAAATATTAAGTAACCCCTATATGTTATTTAACAAAT